GGCAACATGTTGCTCTGTCCAGGGCGCATAGTAAATATTGACAAGCAGCAGTAACTGCAGCAGCAACTCCAACTGCAGCAGCAACATCGGCCAAGAGCCGGAGCAACATGAATATCGCACCTTGTAAACTCATTTGCGCGTACGTGTTGAAACAAATGTTTGCGGGGGGTAAGTGAAAAAAAAGATACAAAAATTGCCGTCCAGCAGCCAAAAACAACAGGAACAGAAAATCCTGGGGGACTTTTATTAGAGATTATAGCGTGAGATGCGTGAGCAATCACGAGAGACTAGATTGAACCGAAACTTTAAAACTTTCAAGCAATATTAAGAAAAGCCATTAAAAAATAAGTGTCTAAAATAAAACAGGAAAATAAAAAAGTTTAATAACAAACTAATTCTATTTAAAACTTTTATATTTTTTCTATTGAGTCTGTTAAATAACTTAAGCTAAAAAGAAATGGGGGAAAGCCGTTTGGCCCGTAAAAAAATAACTACTCATTAGCCTAGCAAATTTGTCATTTTTTGTTAAGTAGCTGAAAAACCCTATATTTAAACAGTAAACTAAGTATGTATTTGGAAATCATTTTTTGTTTCTAAAGTCTGACGGTAATTGGCAATTGACAAACTCGAAGAGAGTGCTGAAAACAGCGGTCACGCCCCCATCTCCCTGGACGCATAAACAACAGCGGCGGCAACAAATGTTGCATTGGCAATTGCCATAAGTCAGAAACAGCAGAAGTGGCAGCAACAGCAACTGCTGCAAGTTTAGAGCAGTAGCAACATGGCCACGCCACAGGAGTGAGTTTCATTGCATGCAGTTTATGTGCGGCCTAATGGGGCCGGACCGGGCCGTTGTTGTTGTTGGTGTTGCTGTTGCAGCAGCAGCAGTTGCTGATGGGAAGCCACCACCAGCAACACGTCCATCTTCATCATGGACAACGGCAATGTGGCTCCTTCTTCCCCGTTTTAATGTCCCTGCTGTGCACTTGGCGTTTGTCTGGTTTTTTCGGCACCATGACACCACTAGAGCACCCTCTCGCACCCCTCCAGACCACCAGCTCCTCCTCACTGCCCCTTGCCCGCCCTCACCTTTATGCAAATGCGTTGCTGCTGCTGCTGCTGCTGCGTGTCAATGCAAACTTTGCTGACTTGCATGCGAATGTTGCTTGCACAAACATTGAGGTGTACTGCCAAAGTTGTCGTCATAGTCGGTGGAGAGTCGCCTGCCCATGTTGCTGCTGTTGGTCTTGTCTTTGCTGCCGTTGCTGCTGCTGCTGCTGTTTGTGTTGCAGCTTCAGGAGCAGCAGAAGCAGTAACCACCGCCTGGCTTGTTGGCCCGGCGACCACAGCTGGGTGTCCTGGGCGCGCACAGTTAAGCAAACTCAAAACTGGGAGAAGGCAAAGGGCAAGGGATTCGCATTCACATCTCCAATGGAAATTGGACTTGGCCTCCACCGAGTGGTCCAGTCGATTGAACAGAAGTCCCGGACTTGGCAGTGAAGCCAAATTATAAAAAATAGGATCGTAAATGGGTTTTTATTTTCTTAAAAATAATCAAGATAAAGCTTTATAAAAAAATATATAAATAATGAATATTTAGAAATATTTCTTGTATATAAATTAATCTTAAATTTAAAAGAATCCAAAAGATCAATTCCAATGTGCGTAAGTTGCCGATGACTCTCCTGACGTCCAAGCCCAGTTGGTGTTACATTTTTACGTGCCCCAACGCCCCAACGAAGGTACACACATCGAGCAAGGATGGGTCGGGGGGATCAAGGATGAGAAGTGTTGACCACCGGCCAACGCCTACGCAGGCAGTCCGATTCGGATTCGTTTTCGGATTCAAAGAGTCCAGGCAGTTGGCGGGCAATGCAGCATGATGAATGCCCCAACTCATGCCATTCCAGGGATCCTAGGTGAGCAACATTCTCCGTTCGTACGTGCCTGACTTTATTGGCAGGGGCTTACCCTGAAGAGGGTTCGAAGTGAAAAGGAATTTAATATATGTCTGAAAATTAATAATAATAATAACAATAAAAAAATTAATATACTATAATTCTAACTTTCATATTATTAATCATAGTATTCTACCCCCTAAAAAAGACACCTCTGGGCGAACCAAAAGGGCAATAGAACGTGTGCCAACAGCCGTGAGCTTGTGGTGAGGATTTTGGCACAATATTTTTAAGACTCATCCCCCCCGCTCCACAGTCCGGACCAAAATCAATTAAAATGCCAAGCTGCGTGAGTCACACTCACGGACGGACACACTTACGGATTTGCTGGACACCCATCGGTGCGCTGAGGTTGGTCTTCAAAATGTGTTGAAAAGGAACCGGGCTGCCTTTGTTGGTGATGATCCAACGATGATGCAGTGACGGAGAAGTGATGATGGGCCAATGGCCAGGAATTACAATGCTTATTGCATTGGCTTGAATTTGCATACCCAATCACCGAATGGCATCCTCACACTTGACCCCGTTTTCAATGGCGGCCGGCACGTTCTGTAATCGATCATCAATGCCTAAAGTGGCCGCCTGAAAGCTGTAAACTAAAAAAAACCTCAAATCCCAAATCTGAAATCCGAAGACTGAAAACTGAAGACTGAAGACCGAAGACCGAGGGTCGCCACTCATCAAAGCCCAACAAAGCGCATACCACAGATATCAATTAATTTCAGCGGACGAGAGTGGATGTGAAAAGGCCAACAAAATCGTAATAAGTCAATGCTTTTGACGGATGCACTGGGAAAAATATGTATATTCTTAATACAGATATATGAAAATATATTAAAAGGTGAAAGAAGAAGGGGTTCTATGCTTTAAAAACTCTTTAAATGTGTTAAGTTCAGTGTTTGAATTAAGAATTTTAAAAAAATATAAAGATTTTGGTAAAAGCCCCAATATTTTTCCTTTCTGCATTGAAAACTGAAACGAAGATCGAAGCTGCAAGACTTTAGACCTTTTCTTCCAGCGCGCACGTCTATTGATAAACACAAATGATTTTGTAGCAGGATGATTCCTACCTCGCCGAGTCACAGTCATCATCAATCGGTTAAGAAAATATTTAACAAGTGTTTGAATGATTTTGAAAAATGATGTGCAGCATGTGCAGCAACAGCAACTGCGACAGCATCAGCATCAGCAAGAGCAAAAGACACAGCGGAACGGCAATACAGGCACTACGTTCTCCCGGCCAAAGTCGTCTACAAATTATTGCACGCGATCGCTCATTTCCAGCAGAAATAACACAAACACGGCAGCCACTGCAAGCCATGGTAAGAGCAACAACATCGTCCAAAGAACCGGCAATAAAAACAAAACAGAACCAACAAAAAAAAGCCAGGCAACAGGAAAAAAAGCAACCAGCAACCCGGCTTGGTGTTGTTGCCAGTTTCCAATCTTGAATCTCGAAGGCGATGTAGATATAGCAAATAAGATATGGCCGGGGCATGTCATGAGCCCCGCGACTGTGAAAACATCTCAATGGCAAAAGTATCACATCATTCATAATTTCATTGCCGCCCCGAGGAGGGGCAAGCAGGGGCCACTGGGAATTGAGTTGTTGTAGCTTGCCACGAAAATCTCTCGCTTCAAGTGTTGAATGTTTGCTCAAATAACAACGACAACAACAACAACAACAGCAACATCAGGTCCAATCTTCAGATATATCTCATGGGGTATCTCTTAGGGTTTCGGGAGATCTGTTTTATTTTTCTTGAGACCTGTAGGGGCGCGGTGAAATTTGACAAATGAACCAGGCTGCCCGAAGACACACGTTCAGCTGATAGCAACCGTGTTTCCGAGCCTGTAGCCCGGAGAGAAAGATCATTATTAATGATGACGATTTGTTGATATTTTTGTAACGTGCTGGGGAAGGCCCTTTTCCTCCAGCCTGCAATGCGATCGCACAATTATAAACCAACAACAGGAATTACAAACAAGTGCAGTCGAATGCCAAGTCATGCCCAGCAACCAATACCGATTCCGACTCCAATCCCGGTACCAATCCCGATCCCCCAAGCCCAATAAGCATGATCATCGTGATGATCTTCCACACAAATTGCTGCTGGCACAGGAAACCTTTGCATAATCTAGGCTTATAATTCAATTAATGCCTCAGATTCGTTGCACTTAGCTGCAAGCACTCGAGTTCAAAACACATCCAGCTGCAACTCACTAGAATCCAGCCACATGACTGGCAGCTCAAGTGTTCAAGTGGAAGACTGAAGATAGTGACGATGATGACCACGATGAAGATAGTGAAAGACGAGTGTGAATATGAATATGAATGTGGATATAGATATGGATGTTGCACCTCTGTCGTCACACTGTCTGGGGTTGACGCTTTAAATCTACCTTCATTGATGATACTGCACCGGAAATTGAACTTGAGAATTGATTTTCGGTAAATTATCTTAATAAATGGTAAAAAAATGAAAAAATAAGTAAATAATACTAAATATGGGGAACACAAATGATTGTGATTAAAATAATACAACCAAAATCAGCCACACTTCATCAAGGATCTTGTCCATGGTTCTAGAATCTAGATATTAGTAAAGATTAAAAGTTTGATATCTCTTAATAAAATAAAAATCTTTTCTTAAAAAAAGGGAAAAAAAACGAAAAACTTTTCCCAAAAAAAGTAGCATCTCCACATAAAAACGACGAATAAAGAAACAATTTCAACTATGAAATAAAAGAAACAAAACCCAAGAAAACTAGGATATCCACGATAACTTGGCAAACTTGGTATCCAAAATAAAAAATGAGCCTAACATCCACTTAGGTCGAAAAAGCGAGAGGTACAATGAAATATTTCCAGATGTCCTTTTCCTCGTTGAGTCAAACAGGGATACCAAAGCTTAAAAGTTTCCTTTTTGTATTAGGAATTTCGAAAATCAACTTCTCCAACACTACCTTTCTTCCCATTGAATTAAAATGCAGGATTGGTTTTTGAAAAATGTTTTTCTTTAATTTGTTTTTCTTCTTTTTTAATTGATTTCTGTTCATCTTTAATTGTAATGGTTTTTATAATTTCTGTTAACTAAATGTTAGTTTTTAGCTGTATGTTTTCCATTTACTGTGTCAATTTCGGCTAGCATTACTATTTACAATTTTGTTTATATGCCTGGCCAGAATTAGGATACGACTATAAATCTAAATATATATATTTATATCGATTTTTATACATTTAAAAAACAAGAAAATAAACAATAACAACGTTTCTCATGGGTAGGTATACGACAATGATTGGGTAGGATTACATATACATAAATATATTACAGGAGCCTTGGCAAGCATTTGTTTTTATCTTCGAAATAAGCTTTTAAGGTTTAGGCGAAACACTTATCGAATACCGAACATTATACTAAACTAAATTTAAATTTCATTTAAATTAAATTAACTAAGCTGCAGTTTTTCTTATACTTCTTTGTTTATAACTACAGTAATGCAGGAATGTTGTGGTTGCTGTTTTGTGTTGCATGAAGGTTGTCTTTTGTAGATGAGTTTTCACTGTGGTTGGTGACTTGATGGTTGGAATTGTCGGTTTGCTCAAAGCCTATAAACTGGGTCTGCTTTGTATTTCGGTTTGCTGGGTGCTGGATGAGGTTTCCATTATTTGTGAACGCTTTACATTGTAGAATTTTGACTAGGAGAGGACGTTTCTTGGGTGGCCACTGGCCAGCTAGCGATGCGCTCGTGCTGGCGAGGATTGTTCTAGTCACACCTCGCTGGGCATGCAGTGCACACTCGAGTCCTGTGACAGCTCATCCATGGAGGATTCTGTATGGAAAAAATAAAGATATAATTTTTAAAATTTTAGACTCTATAACATAGAGAAAAGGGGAATGAACTTGGAGATGATACTAAATAAAAGTGGGTAGAAGTAATTCTTGAATATACTAACATCTACTTTCAAAAATATGTCTTCAACTTAGGGTTTTTAAAATTATTATTATCCCTAAAATATATCCTTCTAATAGGAGTATTTTAACTATTATCTACAAAACTCAATTAAAATTTGGGAATGTATCTGAATTTTAAAAAGTCTCATTCCCCATGGTTTCTCTTAAAGGTGTTAGCCTTACCATGGGCCGGGTATAGACCCGCTTTAGTGCCGTTCAAATGCATTGGATTCTGTGCGTTATTCTGAAATGAATACGTTAACTGCAGGTTAATATGACGCGCAAATGAGCTTCCTTCCGGTTCGCGTACTGCAATCAAAAATCGTTTGTTGAAAGTAGAAAAAAACAGAAGAAATTGTAAATACTGTGTTAGCATCTTATTCTTTTTTTTTCTTGAGTGTAAATGTGTGTGACTGTGTGTGTGAGGAAGGATACTAGGTGGACTGGTCTACTCTGGGAATCTCGGAATCTGGGAGGAGGATGGGGCCACTAGGGGGAGAGCATGCTGCACTAATCCACTACTTACTTTTATTCTTACCAGCATGTATGTGTTTTTTCTGACGCGCCCGCGAGTTCTGGAACCAAACTTGCGTCACACGCTTACTGAGACCGGTAACCGAGGCGATGCGCTCCAAATCCTGGCCATCCGGATTACTGTCAATCTGGAAGTTGGCCTGCAGCACTTGCAACTGCTCCTCGGTGAAGGTGGTGCGCACACGTTTCGTCTTACTCTTGTGATAACCATCACCATCACAGCCATCTGAAGTGGGAAAAAGATACATGTTATGAGTGGTTTGCGATCAGAAATTTAATCGGAATATAAAAAGGAGGGTCGCTTGACTATAGAGGTCTAAAATAGGCTATATCAGATTATAGTTTTTTAGAAATATATAACAATAATCAAAAATAACTATCAATAATTTATAGATTATAAATTTATTACTGGATAGAAATACTACCCAGAGGTCTAAGATTAATATAAATAAACCATTTTGAAATTCTATAAAATTCTCGTAGGTATTTGATTCAAAAATCCCTACATCGTATAGGCCCTAAAGTAGAGTAGTAACTCCGGTGTCTTTGGCTCTAAAAGCATTTTGACAGTCGACCAAATTGAAAATGTCAAAAAGTGTTTATAGTTTATAGTGGTGCTGTTATGGTCTATGTGGCCACTGTGCCGACCCGGTGGTCCCATCTCCTCCTCTTCGGTCAGATGAGGGGGATGGGGGATGGAGGTTTTCTGGGGACATGGCAGTACGTACCAGAACGACTGCTACGACATTCAAAAGCCGATCACGTCGCCTCAAAAAAACCGAAAAAAAAATTAAAGAAAAAACGGAGAGTTGTTTTTACGATTGTGACACGATTTCGTCAGCAGCCTGCCCTGGCGACTGACTGGCGCTTAACCACCTTACTTCACTGTACCGGTCAACAGTGAAGCGTTCCAAATTGGCAACCGTTCTGCCACCGAAGCGTGCAGCATGTTTTCAACTTGTAAGCAGCCTTTGTTGCACATGGCACTAGGGTTTTTGATTTGAGAGTTTGGAGGACTAACTTACCGTCGCTTGATGTGGTGCCACCCTCGACCGTTTCCAGATAATGAGCCTTGCAGAGCACCCGGTCATCCATGAGGGCGAACTGCTCCCCGGTGGACAACTGGCGGCCGCACTGGTCGCAGGCGAAGCAGGCCAGGTGGAAGACCAGGTCCCGCGCCCGTCGCACCCAGTCCGAGGCGGAGATGCCGCGACAGCACTTGGAGCACTTGGCGCCGAAATTTCTGCAAATTAAAAGCGAAAGAGGAAGTGGTAATCAGTTAAGTACTCCTCATAAAAAATTTAACTTGCTTATTAAAATATTATTATAAGAGACTTATTGGTAATTAAATTATATAGGCTTTTTAGAAAATGTACATATATACATTTTTAGATTTGGAAAACATTTTCCAAGCGGAAGTTGCTGCAATGGCGATGCTCCGACAAACGTTTTTCCAAATGAGTCGGCAACTTTCGGTGGCTTATTGTTAGCATTTAAGCTTATTTTTACAACAGGGCCAACAATGTATGGCCAGAGCATGACTCGGATGTGGATGTGGAGACCTGGAAGAGGTCTGGAGATGGAGATGGGCTGAGATCCAATGCTGGTGGATGATGTCTCCATCGGGCAATGCACACTTAAAATTCTTAACTTGAAAAATAAATATTTTTACAGCATCTCACGGCGCGTCTGTTTGTTTATTTTCATTTCGTTCGACGTCGACACCGTTTTCCTACGACTTTGGCTCTGGGTCTGGCCCTTTTCTTCTCTCGGCCAGCCTCCTCCCGGCCAGTTTTGTTGTAGTATCTTTCAGATACTTTAGCTTGCAAGTTGCATTCTGTGGTAAAGTTTTCATTTCGTTACGTTTCGGCCGCATCTTTTGTCGCTATTGACTTTTTGGATTAAGTCGCAAACGTTGTCGAATTGTTACAATTAAACTCGATGGCCAGAAGATGTGTGGGAAACTCTTCCGAAAAACACTTGTGCACATACGAACATGAGTTGGAAAATCGATTGGAATTTTTTCGAAAGTCAGCCTCGAATCTAAACACCTAAACAGATGTACATAGGTTTGTAGCCACCGAGAGCACCGAGAGGTGGATCTTGGCATCCTTTAGATACTTACTTGCTGTAGTCAGCCTTGCAGTACACCTGCCTTTCCCGGATGAAGCACGACTGCTGCCGGTCCAAGGGACACATGCACATGCAGCACCTGAGGCAGTGGGCGTGCCAGGAGCAGCCGCCCACCTCGAGGAAGAACCGATCCGAGATTGGCTCCCCACACGCTGCGCAAGAACGCAGCTCAGTCTGGAAAAAAGCAAACAAAATCATGAAGTGATGTGAAAATCTCTAATCTAGCAATATATTTTCTATGCTAATTCAGTTTCTATTTAATAGGATTTTTTGTTTTCAAGTCGAAGAACCGGATCGGCTGTGAATGCTGATCTCTGATCTAAAATCGTAGCGCCCATCCGTCGGATTTGTTTCTTCTTTTGTTGTGCCTTCAAACGAAATCGTTCAATAAATCTGGCAAATGTCCAGGCGGCTTCTGTTTTATTTCTTAGCTGCTGCATTTAACTTATGTATATTAAACAAATTTCAATAGCTAGCCAGTTGGAAAAAAAATGTTTTAAAAAACACAAAAGAAGGAACAACAACAGCGGCAACGGGCCAGTTTTTTCGGTTTCGCTCTTTTCGAAAATTGATCCATAAATTTTAAAATGTTATGCTAATTGTTGTTGTTGCAGCGGCGACGGCAACTGCTATACTCCGAGTTCGACTCCGATTCCAGGTCCCCAAAATGTGAAATTTATGGACCCATCCAACGATCGATCTTATGAATATTCAATGCCCGGCCTGCATGTTACGCCGTTTTAAATGAGTGTTTCAAACAAATTTTATTGCGTTTCATAAAGTACCCCGACAGAAGATACCGAATCGAAAAATAATATTCCGTGGAGCATTTTATTATTTAGAATGTGAATGCCTTAATTGATTTTTTCGAAAATTGTTTTCGAGCGCAAAGTGTTGATTTCAACAATTATTTCAACAGCTAAAAATCTGCATCGTTTTGCACTCGTTTAAAATGGCCATTCCAATTAGTTGAGTATTATTAACAAATGAATACAATTAATTCGGTAATTTTGTTTAACAGGGCCTATAAATATAAAAATTCTTAATTTAAAAACGCAAAATATTAACCGTTTTTCGAGGCTGAGAGATACGCCATTTTCAAGCTGATATTTCTCCAAAATTTCTCAAACACTTTGAAGTAATTTATTTTCCCTGTAGACTCCCATCAATGAACATTTCTGTCCACTTTAATGCCTTCTCATTATCTTCCACTTGATTGGGAAAAAAATACATTTCAATTGCTCTGAGCTGTGGATCCGAGTTATTTCGTTGATTATGATGTGCAATTTCCGAGCCGAATGCAATACTTGAAACATTTAATTAATGGCCGGCATTTTGCATACGTTTTTCACTCATTAAGAAAAAAACAAAGCCCGAAAGTCCAACACGTCCGTCCGACGGCCACAAAATGTTTTTCCATTAATCAAAAATGGCAGAGAAAATAAGCGCTGCCTGAATTTATTTTTCATGGCTGGTGGCAAAACAATTGTTGCCACAAATAATTGTCGTTTAACCTGCGGCGGCGACAACTTGTTATTAACTTAGCTGACGAATTCGTTTTTTCGCTCGCCGACATTGACAGAAAATAAATAAATACATATTTAAACAGAGCTGAAAGCGAGGAAAAGCGGCTAAATAAAAACCTGGCCATGACTACGGGCCCAGATCAAAGGGCCCGACTTTTGCGACTAAGGCAATTAAAAAAACAAAGCCCAGCTCGTAGGAAAAAAACTATGGTATACTGTGTATATGGATTAGACACAGACATGAGTGGAAAACCAGCCACTGGGTAATGGATATCTATGAGAATAATTTATGACAAGCCGCAAACTATCGGATACAAATGTATCTTCAGGGGGGTTGCGGCGGGCCGAGTTCCGAGTTCCGAATTCCATTGAAATATGCAATATGGCCACCGTCATCCAAAAAGCAACACGTGTGTGTGCGCGTACTGTGTATCTATGAGATACACGTAGTCTCTGTGCATGAGTGTGTGTGGCAGATATAACTACATCCTAACATGGCCGCTGGCTGCTCATTTCTTTGCTCTTTTGCGCGCAGCCGCTGCCATTTAACTTTTCAACTCTGCGCCGTGTGTGACACGTTTAATAGCGGTGGTCGTCCTGGTTCCCTCCCCAGCCCCAGGCAACCCTCCGACTCCCTACCCTCCAGCATATTCCCGCAACGAGCCTGCGCCCTGCGCCCTGGCCCTGGTCCTTTCCCTCGCTTGGCCTCCCCTTCCCCGGGCAGGCTGTCACTTTCGTTTAACTTTTCATATTCCGCGCCCGAAAACACAACCAACAACAAGCCGCAGCCCAGGGGTGGGGTGTTGCAGTCGACGGGGTGTTTTCAGCAATTTGTTTTCCCAACGCCCGTTTTAACACACAAAACCGGAGGCTGAGACTTTGACTTGAATGCACTCGGAAAAATATGGAAGCAGCCAGGTATTTTCCAATTTTTATATATTAAATAAAATTTAAGATTTTTAAGATAGATTAGCGATAGAGCAAAGATCGGAGATTATAAAAATGCATAATGACTTAAAGAGTCTATAAAGTCTATTTTTTCTTAAAAGTAAATTTCTAAAAAAATGTCCAAACCCCTAACTTGCAAAAATATGAATATATCCAACCTCAATCATTATTTTTCAGTGTATAGGACCCGAAATCGCAATAGCAATCCCTCCGGCTTGTTGGTAATACACATGCAATTGTCGTTGTTGTTGTCATGTCTATGCCCACTTTTGAAAATATGTCAGTTGTCAGACAGACAGACAGACGCAGGAATAGAGGACCTGAGGGGGGAGAGGGGGTAGTGCGGCTTGGTGGCAGAAGGACACATCTGAAGTGGCATTTTTGGCGAGCATGTCATTTGACTGTAATTTACTCGTGAGTGTCGTGAGCCTTCTGCGGTTGGGTGTGCGTTTCCACTATGTGAGATGCATAAATCTGCCTGTGAATTCAAAATGGGCTATTCATGTGTGTTTGCAACGGCTTAGAATTTGTGGAAACTTTCAAGAGGCATTGTGGCAGGCAGAAGTGCGAAAAATGTTTCAGTAGGCCAGCAAGAATAAGGGATATTAAACAAAGTTCAAAAGGGTAAACAACAGATCTCTAACTAGTTTTAATCAAAACTTTATGAAGCTTATTGATTTCTAATAAAAAACAAAACTATCTTACGGCCATAAATCGAAAAACCCATAAAATATCAATCTCAGATCTAATATTATATAAAGATGTCTCACTGACTGGTATATGGTATATGAGGGCTTAGACAAAGTAGCAAAGATTTTTGAAAACTGATATAACCTGATGAATTTGCCGGGTCTCTGCGGGCCATAAAGTGTGAGCAAATACTGCTATCTCTAGGGGCTATCTTGGGGGATCCAAGAGACTAGTTCTGTGCCTTCCCACCTTTCGTTTTATTGTTATTATTTGCTATGAATACTCAGTGTTATATAAGCACTCGGCCCTATGTCGGCCCCTCATAAAAATTCCACAATTTAAAACTTGCACCTTGCAACTTTTGGCTCGAAATGTCGTAAATAACCTCCGGCTGGCAGCAATATAAAAGTGGAAAAAACAAAGGCCCAGTCAGAACTATAAAAGAGACAGGGGTCGATACGCGGAGTGGGGCGCTGAAGAGTATGCAATAAAATTTACAATCTCCCCTCGATGCGAGAGCTGGGGCTACACTCGGCAAGGTGCAGAGCCAAAGGAGTGTGAGAGTTTTCTGGATTGAAACCGAAACTGATCTGAATAGGGGTCCGAAACCGGTAGCCGTGGCCGTGGCTAAGAACTGTATCATCTTCGGGGACAATCACAGGGGAACACGCCTAGAAGATCGATTACCCGAAAAACAGAGACAATCCTCACGTCATTGCGCAAATTGAGCGATCATCGTCGGGAGGAGAGATCGGTACTCCATATATCAATGAATCGTCGGATCCGATGGATGGATGGGTGTCGTCGATGACAAAAGCCCTTGGCACTCAATTGATTTCGATGTGGTCGTTGTGACTTGTCATCTCTCCTCGCCTTGGCTGGGCTGGCTATCCACCACCGTGAGAATATGTTCAGCTCCCCCAAAAAAAAATAAAAAAGAAAAAAGTAATACCAATCTTATATAAAAATAAAACCCAGTCGGACGAACAAAAGCCGCTTGATAGCAGACACCACAATGGACATAGCTTTCTGGCCGATATCGAGGCAGTTATAACAACAACTCGAGCACTTGTCACTCGAACGGATTTTGGCAAATGTTTTCCTAAGGCCTTTCGATCCCTCGATCGCTATATTTAAGCCGCTTTTCAACAGATTTCGGCCAGCGACCACAGCCGAAAATTGCACTGAAGGCTAAAACCAAACAAAAACAGACTGTGTTTCCAATATTTTCATTGTCTAAACTCTTTTTTTTCGGATATTATTTTTTAGCTGATTTATGCGGCATGAAAATTTTCATTGGGCGTCTGTCAAATAAATATATATTCGATTTTTTTGGTTTCTGGTTTTCTGTTTATTTGGCCATTTGATTTTCTGGTTGCTGACTTTCGAAAAAGGCGTATCGCTTTTTAATTAGAGCTACTTTTTGTGTGTTATCCAGCTGCGTGGGCCTCAGTCCAGAGAGCTTTGTGTTTAATATATTGAATTATGCTAAAATATTACTACTACCAAAAATCTTACACGTCGGCGTTTGTTTGGCGCCCAGTTCGTATCGGATCATCGTATCTGATTGTTATTTAATGACCCCACGAACTGCTCTTTATGAATGAAAGCGGCCAACAAACGCCCACGACTTTAGTATGGTAACGTATAATACAATAAATATTATACGAGAGCGAAAAAAGGAAATATTGGAATGAAAAGAATCATCTGCACGCTCCATAAATTGGCTAAATGTTTACAAATATTTCATCGGAAAACTGTTAATGGTAATGTCGCTGACTGCATTCAAGCTGCCTTGTCTTTCGGTTTTCATTTTTTATTCTACCTATATGTATTTCTGGATATATAGCTGGGCTGTTGTCGCCTCCATTGATCCAATCAAATTGATGGGCGGCTATAACTGAGCAGGGCACTGGCTAAAAAAACTGGCTATCCAAAAGGGAATGCATTTCTATGGGAATACAGTGGTTGTCAGTTAAAGATAATAATTTAAATTAATATGTTTAAGTA